TTTTTTTATGAATACGGCCGTAAGTTTAAGAAAAGTTTATTTTAATTTAGAAATTACTCTGTTTGCCGAGTGGCAGCTCTTGAAGAAGAATTGACCAGGCTTAAAGCAATAGTCGTGGGCAATAGTCGTGGAGTTGGAGAACTTCAAGTCAAACGTCAGCTCAATTACTGCAAATTCCATCCTTTGTCCATTTTTTCTACTACCCTTCTACTACTATTTTCAGAAAGAGCGATCACATTCTTCCCCTTTCTCCCTACTTCCAAAATACAAATCTGGATAAAGGAGTGTCAAATATGTCACAATTTACATAACCTTGTATTATTGAATCATGCATACAAAGTATGTTGACAATTTTTTATATGGAGAAAATGAGCAACACCTTCAACAAAAAAAATTCCCAAAAATCAGCGGTAAGTCGGAGCTACTTTCAACCTGCACTTTATTATTCTTGAATTGAATGGGCTACAAATCTGCTTACTGAAAATATTTTTTAAAAAATCGAATTAAAAAGCTCGAAATTTGAACGAAAGTTTATTGATTTTTTTTAAATCATGCACAAAGATTGAAACTTCGATTTATATGCTTTTTGTTAAAGAATTTACTATATATTTATAAATAAATAATTAAAATTAAAAAGGCATTAAAAAAATTAAAAGTGCGTTCAAACCTTGCTGGGCGTTGGCCAACTTTGTAACAATACTTGTATGATAAAGCCTATTTATATAAATAAAGTTTGAATTAGAAAAAAATGTCCGTGAGAAAGCGTGCGGGATTAAAAAAACTGGGCGTCGTGAGCGTGCGTGAAAGTGATTGAAAAAAATATAACAGATTGTGAGTGTGCGTGATTTACAAAACCATCAATGTGAGCGTGCGTGAGGGTGAGCAAAATCACTCACGCGCCCATCTCTTGTGTTAACCAGACTTTGAGTAACCAGCGTTTAGTCTATACCCTTCGATGCCCTTATCGACTATTTATTTTGTAAATATATATGTATATATATGTATGTATATAAATATATAATAAACAGATTTGCAGGTTATAATAAATCGCACTATGAACATAACTAATAATGAACTGAATTGCAGGTTTTAATAAATCCCACTATGAACATAACTAATAATGAAAAGCACAAACATCCAGAGGGCTGTATGAGTGTTCGTGGTTACTCGGCTGAAGTGGAGCGCTATCGTTCTGTTTTAATAAATGGAAAAACCTTAGATGGTGTGGAAAGGCAACTGCAACTAAGTGGGTGGAACGCAAGAATTGCCCAACATGAAATGGATCATTTAGATGGAAAATTGTATATTGACATAATGGATCGTTCGACTTTTACATGTACATGTTGGGAAACAGTAAACGCTAAAAGCGGGCGTGTAGAAATACCATTTTATAAATAGCTACTAAAATTGTTTAAACGAATGTGTATATTAATATGGATGTAGATTTGCATTTTCGTGCTTTTATTTGCTATAAGTACGGTGACCAGATTTCTGTGAACAAAAATCGGGACATTTCCAAACCATCGAATCCGAACACCCAATTTTATTTTTAGAATAAAAAGACAACATCGCTTGATATACATAATTTTATTTAAGACAAAACAAAGACCAAAAAATCTGCATTCCAACGACAGCCGGTTCTACGTACCGGAATGACTCGGGTTTTACCCGACCAAGGGCTGTTGTTTCGGCGATCTAACCCCGTTTAGGTCGGCAAAATATCTCAGAAGTTGTTCGTGCATAGGGCTACATTCGCTACGTTTTCTTCTATTCAGGGCAGGCATCTAGTCAAATCCAGGGCCAGAAACCTACACCTGCTGTGTATGCCAGAGACGACTACACCACAACTCCACCTCTGTCAAGTGCAATGCTTGCGAGGGGTGGAGTCACCTCAGAATCTGCTCAGGACTACGGACACATCGGCAGTGGAGCTCGTCTTTTGTGGCCCCCACGGCTAACCCCAGTCCACCTGAGCAGTCCCACACAAACACCACAGCACAACAACATAACACAATAGACCACACCACAACGGCTACAGACCACAGAACACACACAACCGCACCACCTCCTACAATCTGCACGGTATGTCAGACCAGGATATTCCGTAATGTAACATCAGTCAAGTGCAACACCTGCCTTGGCTGGTGCCACTTTAGGGCATGCTCAGGTCTGCGCACCACGCGAGATTGGACGAGGAGCTTTGAGGGCCCGTGTTGCGCTGCTCGGTCGCAGACCTCAACTGCGACGCCTCCCGCCACCACCACAGGGCGGCAACCACCTCAGCAGCGCACACAGCCAACTGCGGCACGACACACACCCCGCATCACCACACGTCTCCCGACCCACATGAAGCTCCTTCAAGTTAACTGTAACGGGCTTCAGAGCAAGATTGAGGAGATAACGGTCTTCATGGGAAGGCATGGCATATTGATAGCTGCGGTCCAAGAGACGAAGTTGCACAGCAATTCGACACTGTTGAATTGTGCCGGGTACAACATGCACCGTCGAGATCGCGAGCGGGATAATGGTGGTTGCTTAGCGTTCATCACGCACCACACCGTGCAGTATCGTCTTAACGAAGCAGACATCGACCGCAGGGATACCACCCTAGAATGTCAGGGCATTGCTATCCGGTCAGGCGATGTTGAGCTCGAAATATTTTACATTTATATACCCCCTGTCACCTGCTGCCCGGCAGGATATCACCCTGACATAGGTGCGCTCCTCAGAGGTGAAAACCGTATGGTAGTAGGCGACTTTAATGCGCACCACGATCTTTGGCACTCAAGCCTGTCAAACGATCGTAGGGGAACTGACTTGGCTGAGCAGATAGACGATTCGACATTCTGCACAATGAACGACGACGCACCCACCAGGATTATGGGCAGCTGCTGCAGCTCGCCAGACATAACAATAGTCAGCGCTGGTCTGATAAACAGCATATCATGGCGATCTATGCTGACTTGCACCGAACATATATCAACTTTTCTAAAGCTGGTTGGAAATGCTTCGCGGAATTTACTGAAAACGCCTTCGCTGCTCTCCCCACACCAACCGACGTCCACCGTGGTGAATGTAAGTTCCGCAGGGCTGTCACCGCTGCTGCAGGCCGCTTCGTACCGGCAGGATGTATCACCGACCCACGTCCAGATTTCCCTTCTGAAGCGGCTGTTCTAGCCGATGAGCGTGATAGCCTTCGCAAGGCCGATTCCGGAAATCCCCGTATCAGGGTTCTCAACGCGGAGATTCGGCAACTAGTAAACGTACATAAGCGGAAGAAGTGGGAAGAGCATCTGAAGACCTGTAACTTCACCTCTGGTGTGAGTAAGCTTTGGTCAACCGTGAGGTCACTGTCCAATCCGACGAAGCACGACGACAGAGTCGAAATTTCTTTCGGCGACCATACTTCGTCGGACCCGGAGCGATGCGCGAGCTATTTTAGCCGGCAAATCATACTGCATCCTCCGGTGGACAAAGCCAAGCGTCGAGTGACCAGAAGGTTGCACAAACTGCCAACAACCTGTGCCCCCCTCGCTTTCACTTGCGGTGAAGTTCAGGTGGCCATCGGGAAGGCGAAAGCCTCCAAAGCCATGGGTCCCGACGGAATATGTATGCTGATGCTGAAAGATTTGGGTCCTGCGGGGGCAGCGTACCTAACGGAGGTCCTCAATTTGTCCATGGCCACTCTCATCATCCGGGGAAACCCGCCAACATAGGAGATTCTTATCGGCCGGTAACACTCCTTTCCCGGTAGCGAAGACACTCGAGGCCTTGCTGCTCCCATATTTCACAAACCACTTGACCCCAGCGAAGCATCAGCATGGTTTCCGTAAAGTGCACAGTACAACAACAGCACTTAACGCCATAAACACTCAGATAACTCGTAGCTTTAACCGTAAACGTTCATGTGAGAGAACGATTCTAGTAGCGTTGGACCTGTCAAAGGCCGTTGACACTGTCAGCCATTCCACGCTACTAGAAGATATAGAGGCTTCCTCTCTCCCACAGAGGCTCAAACGGTGGTCGGCAAATTATCTAAGTGATCGACACTCGTCGGTAATGTTTAGAGACAAATCGAGCAAACTTAAAAAAATAAAACAGGGGTTCCACAGGGTGGTGTCGTTGTTGTTGTTGTTGTTGTAGCGGCTACTAAGCCCCGTTCGGGACGGTTCATCCATCATCGTTGTCGTCTATTTCAGCTAAGGGGAGGCCCAGGAAGTGTGCGACTTCCACAGGGGCTGTCCATAGGGACAGGGGCGTTAGCTGAGTGGGATTCTCAGGGCATGTGAAGAGGGGCCTGGAGTCATGTGGCGACTCTCCACATGCCGGGCATTGGTTGCGCACATCCTCGTTGATTCTGCTCAGGTAGCTGTTGAGCCTGCTGCAATAGCCAGAGCGAAGTTGGGCTATTGTTGTGCGGGCCTCCCGAGGCAGACAAAGTTCTGTGCCGTCCACGTCCGGTGGTTGTGTGCCTAGAACGGCATTCACAGGGCGGGAGTCAACATAACTTGAGACTGATTCCCTGTGAATGCCGTTGGGGGCCTGTCGGTAGGTTGTCGGGTCCAGAGGTTGTTTAATATACCTCTGGACTTCGTCTGTCAGTTCGTAAAGATGCCTCCTGAGGTGCCGTGGCGAGGGCTCTTCCGCGAGCAGTTGCCCGCTGGGATGGCCACGTCTGTAGCTCCCAGCGAGGAACTGCTTGCAAAGCATTAAGTTATGCTCCTTTACCGGGAGCATCTGGGCCTCGTCATGAAGGTGATGTAGAGGCGTCATCAGGAGGCATCCTGTCGCGGTACGTAATGCCGTGTTTTGGCAGGTCTGCAGCTAGTCCCCGGCGACCATACGGGCGCTGCGTAGTTCAGAACCGGCCGGCCAATTGCCTTGTATATTGCCAACAACGTTTCTTTATCTTTGCCCCAAGTGCTGCCGGCCAGCGACTTGAGGACATTGTTGCGGCTCTGTACTTTGTTGACAATTGTGGTTGTATGCGCCGAGAAGGAGAGCAGACTGTCGAAGGTAACTCCGAGGATTTTCGGGTTATTCACCGTCGGTATTGTTACGTCATCGACATGAATACCCAGTGGCAGTCTGACCTCCTTCGTCCAGGTGGTGAAAAGGGTTGCCGAGGATTTCGCAGGGGATAGGGCTAGGCTCTTTGCAGAGAAGAAGCGAGAAAGTTCGGAGAGGTAACCGTTTACTTTTGAGCACAAGTCATCAATTCCATTCCCAGACGCCATGATCGAACAATCGTCAGCATATGAGACTATATTAACACCCTCTGGTGGCTGAGGAAGCTTTGATATGTAATATTTAAACTGTAGCGGGGACAGGACACCACCCTGTGGTACCCCCTGTTTAATTTTACGTGGCTTGCTGGTTTTGTCTCTGAAGATTACTGACGAGTGTCGACCACTCAGGTAATTCGCCGACCACCGTTTGAGTCCCTGTGGGAGTGAGGAGGCCTCTATATCTTCTAGTAGCGTTGAATGACTGACATTGTCGAACGCCTTGGACAGGTCCAACGCTACTAGAATAGTTCTCTCACAGGGGCGGTTTCGGTTTAGGCCACGAGTTATCTGAGTGTTTATGGCGTTAAGTGCTGTTGTTGTACTATGCACTTTACGGAACCCATGTTGATGCTTCGCTGGGGTCAGGTGGTTCGTGAAGTACGGGAGCAGCAAGGCCTCAAGTGTCTTCGCTACCGGGGAAAGGAGAGTTATCGGGCGATAAGACGCTCCTTTGTTGGCTGGTTTCCCCGGTTTGAGCTCTCCCCATTTTCCAGATATCTGGAATGACGAGAGTGGCCATTGACAGGTTGAGGACCTCCGTTAGGTACGCTACTCCCGCAGGACCCAAATTTTTCAGCATCAACATGCATATTCCGTCGGGTCCAATGGCTTTGGAGGCTTTCGCCTTCCCGATGGCTACCCTTACCTCACCGCTGGTGAAAACAAGAGGCGCACTAGGTTTTGGCATTTTGTGCAACCTTCTGGTCACTCGACGTTTGGATTTATCCACCGGAGGATGCAGAATGAATTGCCGGCTAAAATAGCTCGCGCATCTCTCCGGGTCCGACGAAGCGTGGTCACCAAAGTCTATCTCGACTCTGTCGTCGCGCTTCGTCGGGTTGGACAACGACCTCACGGTTGACCCAAGCTTGCTCACACCAGAGGCGAAGTTGCAGGTCTTCAGAATCTCCGAATTGAGATCCCTAATACGGGGATTTCCGGGATCAGCCTGACGAAGGTTGTCGCGCTCATCAGCTAGAACAGCCGCTTCGGCAGGAAAATTCGGACGTGGATCCTTAATACATCCTGCTGGAATGAAGCGAGCTGCAGCAGCGGTGACAACCCTGCGGAACTTACGCGCACCTACATGAACGTCGGTTGGTATGGGTAGTGCAGTGAAGGCGCCCTCAGTAACATCCGTGAACCCTTTTCAGTCAGCTTTGGAAAAGTTGATATAGGTCCGGTGATCCACGGAAGCAAAGTCGGCAGGTTTATCAATCGAGATGACTATGGGCAGATGGTCTGA